AAACTTATAAAACTACAAAATCTATATAATTTATTATACTAAACAACTATACTTAAAATTTAAATTTTGGTTTATTTAATAAAAAATTAACTTTTATTATAAATAAAATATTTTAATTAATTTTAAAAATTATTTTCAATTCTGTATAATGTTATATAATTTTGTATAATCTTAATTATCTTAAAAAATACTATATAGAATTTTAAAATTTTTTTTATTTAAAAGCTTTAGATTTAATAAGTTTATTATATAATTTTTAGTTTAATATTTTTTTAATTGGCTTGTTATAAATTTTTAAAAAGTGCCTACAATAATATGATAAATAGTTATATATGTTTTTGATTACTTATTAATATTTATTATTACTTATTATTATAAAATATTATTTTCAAATAATAAGTAAAAAAACTATGATATTTGTAAAACAAGCTTGAATCAAATTTTAAATTTTTATTATTTAAATTGTATTTGTGAATTGTAACAAGTAATAATTAGTTATAATAAGTAATAATAAGTACTAATATATAAAAATATGTAAGAATAAAAAAAATAAATATTTATTATTTACTTTTTACTTTATTTATTTTGATAATTAGTATCTTTGATAATTAGTTTTTTTGATAATTAGTAATTATTATTTGAACAACTCATTAAAAAATTCTACAAAAAAAATAAAAATATTAAATATTAGATAAATACACAAATTAATTTGCACTAAGTTACTAATTTTTGTATCTAAAATTTTTGCTTTTATTATTTTAGTTATCACAACTATAATATTACTTATTTTTGTATTTTTTTGTATTTAAATTATTTTTTATAATCTCATATCTAAATACATATTGATCTATATACATAATGAATTTATGTATAAAAATTAACCAAAATTTGATAAATAAATTATGCAGATTAATCAAACTTAAGATTTTGCAAATAGATTCTATTTAAAAACACTATATAAACTATATATTTAATGATTTTATTATTTTGATTCTAATAATGATATATATATATTTTTTATCTTTACTTCCTTTTGCTATTTTGAAAGTCCTTAGACACCTTTAGGACCTGTCACATCTTTTAAAGATCAGAGTTATCATTTTTGAAGATCATTAAACAGTGTATGATGCCTGTATATTACTGAACTATAAGATAACTTATACTTTATTAAGTCTGTTATATAATGTTCTGGGTCACTAGTTTCATAGTATAGAACTTATAATCTTTTTTGGTCTGCAGTTCTCTAACTTCATATAACCCACTAGTTGGATCATCTGTAAATTTTGATTTTCTTAATTCTACATGTTCTTAAATTAGACTCTCTCAATGTTAACATTATTTGTTAACAGATTATGTCTTATCTGGTTGTTTCTGACTCTATGACTATGTCAGTCACTGCATTCTTTTTCATATGAATTTTGTTCTTGTTTTAATTTGATATAATACAATTTACAATTACATTTTTAGGATCAGTTATTACTAGTACTATATACTATCTAATTTTACATCACTGACTTTACCTGGTTATCCATATAGTATCTAAGTGCATGTTTACTGCATGCCTGCATGCAGTTATCTTAACAACCACTTGCAGTCAAGACATGTTATTAAACTACTACATAAACAAGAATACCTACTAAACTTAATATGGTATTCTAAATGCCAGGAGTACTGTCTTCTGTAAATTATACCCATATGTCTCATTTATATGTTTTACCTAGTCTTGTTTCTTCTATCTCTTAATTTAACTATATCTAATATTATCTTGTTTCTCATATTTCTCATCTTTTTATCACTGTATTATTTCCAAATTGGTCCTACTTAGGTATATTTGATCCTTATAATCTTTTCATCTTTGGTATGCCTGTTATTGATTCCCCTAAGGTGTTCTGACAATAGTCCAGGATCTGTAAAGAATCCATATCTCAAGCCAGATCTGCTACTACTATTGGTTTTTTTGACCAATCTGTATCTTAAGCCAGGTCTGCTGCTGCTGTTCTTACAGATATCTTAGATCTTAACATTATACAATAACTTGATACTGTATTTAACCTCCAACATAGTGCTTTCTTTTATAATGAAAACTGAGACTTGTTGTGCTTACAAACAGGACAATTCTGATTATATCTAGAAAGTTTCTTTAAGCTTAGTGATAATATACTACTATATATTGCAAGCTCTTAGCTTATTTGATAATATCTGTAAGACAATTCTGGTTATGCCCCAGGAAGTTATATCAACTCCAGTGATACTATATTATCTTACAGATCTTATCTCATATTAATTGGTTGATCCCAGTTATGTTCATTATAGACTTCTATATAGAGATAACCAGAAACTGATTTAGTACTTTTACATTGTACAAGGAAGTTATATGTCAACCTCCAAGATTTTTTCTTTTTATAATTAGATTATTCAACTATGTCAGGAGTGTTTCTAATTTTTAGTTAAACCAATCCTTTATCAAAGTCTATTCTTATGTTCACTACTTTTCTCACCATTTCAGTCTTGATTATTTTCAGAATACTCTCTTAATCAAATCCTCTTCTTGAATTCTAATTAAGACTTATTTGTACAATCTGTTGATTATCCTTCTAAGCAAGTATTCTACAAGTTGAATGCAAGAATGTTGGTACTGCCTATATTAGAAGGTATAAGGATGTTGTGCTATCCTAGCCTAAAGAACTTACATGCACAATCTTTCTATAACCATAACCTTCTGTAACAACTGTTTGTTATGCATAATGTTTGCACTTCATGATTGGATCTCCTTTTGGGAATTCCTATTTCCATCATTGTACTGCACTTGAACTTAACTACAGGGCTTCGCATTTAATTACAGACTCCTTATTAGGTTACAAAAACTAAAATCATTCAATTTTGCCTCCAGTCAGACTTGAACTATTGATCTTGACTATGGAGGATATAGAAGCTTAATCACTAAGTTATGAAACCCATACCTCAATATCTTACAATTATATTGATAAAAAATACTTTATTTAATTAGATAACAAAATCAATTTCTAAGAATAATTTAAAAGTTTAAAAACCTTTTTCAAGATTATTTTAATAATTTAATAAATAAAAATAAATAATAAAATATTGATCTTTTTACTATATAATATTCTATTTTTAAAATTGCTTTATAACAATATCAGACAAAAAGCTGCCTTATATTATTGCAATATTATACTATTTTAACACAATAACATTATAATATCTAAATACAATAGCATTATTGTAATTTGATATAACAGTATTATAATTATGACATTATAGTTGCAGCATTATAACTCAAAGAAATTATAACAAGTAATACAACACATAACATAACTGTATTAATTTGCCAAATGAATTCTATCACCAACTACAGCTATAGAAGTAAGAATGTTAATTAAAATACAAAAAAGAAATGCTAAATGAGTAAGTAATGAGGGTTGTAAGAGTAAGAAAATAAAAGCATTAATTAAAAAAAATAAGACAGCTTGAGGTCTATGAAAAAATGTATATAAAAACCAAAAAATTAATTGAAATTCTCTTAGAAAAATTAGTATAAATAGACAGTAGATTCCCTTTTGTAGTGTGTGCTCTACACAATAAAAGATAAAACTCTTATTAATAAATCTTCCTAAAACCTCAAATAAATAATCGTTCTTTAAGATTATACCCTTACTTTTTAATGTACTCAAAGCTGCCTTAACCTGTGCCAAATCGTAAAACAGCCTCAGTTTCTCAAGCGACAATTCGTCATATTTGCTTTATTTTTGTTCTCGCCCTTACAGCCTGTGACAGTGTTATACAGTATAATCAATAACTTACTAAATTCGGTGCTGTTGATTTTTGAAAGTGCGCTAGGTACATGATAGTTTAGCCAGCATTATTTATATGATCCTACCCGGAATTGACTAGCGTTAGTATAATATAGGCCGACTTGATGATGTAACATAGTCTGTGTAATGCCAATTGACCGATAAAAATTTCTTCAAACGTGAGAATGCGAGATTATTCGAATTTCTTTAAATTATGCGAAATCGCATATTTTATGCGCATACCCTAACTTAGGGTAGATAGATTTACTTCACAACAATGACCGGCATTACCAAAACACCATAACACTAACTCTAACCGAATGTTGTGCTGTAGTTTTTCGATTATTTATTGGCACATGCTGGCGCATATAACGAATCATAATGCAAGATTCAATTTCATGTGATCCTATAGGGTCAGCGTAAAACATTTAAAAAATCAGCGACATTTACCTAATCAATACGTAGCGAATATATTGAATTATTGATCATTAGCAATATGTTAAATTATGTGGTTATTTGCAATATATCAAATGATTTAACTATTAGCGAAGAAAGTGAACCGATAAAATGTTAAATTTATCTTTTTTGATATAATCATTAATGTTGCTTTTAATTCATATGTATATAGAATACACATTTAAAATAATTTATAAGCTAATTAATATCTTAAATGTTATTATGCACGACGGTACATGTGATTGTGCATATTATATTTGTCATATTTATTTCCACATTCGTCTGCAATGTCATGTTGCTACGTATAAATCTGTTCTTTTAAAATTATCTAATCTATTCGATTAAATTTTCATGTTCTGAAATTTTTAATACTTCTTAATTTCTCTTGTCCATCCTTGCACTGTCCTTCGAGAACGCATGTTCTGCACCAATCGTGTTATTCCGGCCACAGTTGGTAAAATTTTATAATTTTTATTTGTTACAATGGTTATTTTTTTTTTCAACCGAGATGGCAATTATATACTATAGACCTTCAGGTCCTGTTACAGTGCTTTGAATTTGTTTATAATCTACAAGCTTATTAAACAGTTAAATATAAATTAAGATAATCTAATTCTTGTACAATATCATGATAATTTATTAAAAAATACCTTATTTAGCAGATAAATTTTATGATCGATAATGTCTTTCTCATGACAAACTAAAATTGTTATTTTCCTGAAGGTTCTTATAACTTCATTTGAATAAAAAAGTATTGGATGCTAAAAATCCGACCACTTCTTTCGGCCCTTTCTCTAAACATCTATCGAACATCTTGACTACATTATTGAATACCAAATAATAAGGTTGTTGAACAACATCGATCGATAAAATAGTTTTTGAAAATTTCCTATTAAATAAGTAAAAAAAAAGACAGTGAATACGAATGTCATCATTACAACAACGTATTTTTCACTTATTTCGTCTCCGTGCCTTGCAACCCGAACACGGTTCATTCTACTCT